TAAATTATCGAGAGTGTCTTTTTTTACGGCAGAGGACTTTCGCGCAATTGAAGCAAGAAATTTCGAATGTTACTAAATAGCCTTGTCTCTCATCAACGAGTAACAATTCGAAGGTAAATGAGCTTTACAAATTGCAAGTTATTGCGATTACCCGGTTTGACGTGTAACTTGTAATTTGTGAAGCTTTTAAAATATTACTTTCGTTGCCAAACTCGTTGTATCTGTTGGACAAAGGTATTTACTACCTACCTGCGACTTGTGATTTATAAAATTTCGCTCATGATTAGTTCAATTGTATAAGAGGGCTCTGCAATTAATGACTTAACGAATTGCAATGTGACTTCATAACGTCACGTGACGAACAGGATAATATGCAATTTTCCATTTCATTAACCCTTTCAGGATCCTTTTGTACAATTTAACTAATTAATAGTACGATACAAGTCACAGGTTACAGATTGTTAGTTAAACACGCTTGTCTAAATATTAATAACCTTGGTAATGAAATGGTATTTTATTAAAAGTAAATTTTACAAATTATATTTAATTGTCTTATTTGTTATATTGGCGAAAATGTGTGTTACAATTTGTATTATTAGTTAGTAACTTGATATTATTAATGACAAATTATTGTGCAGAGTACTGGTTCAAAATATTCAGTTGTACAATAAGTTCGTTTTCATTAGTGCATACATTTCAAGAAATATTTTACAAAATTGCTCAAACAATTAAAGAATTTTTTTCATAAAAAGAATATACATTTATATGAACGCTTGATGATTCTTTTAAGAATTATTCAACTTAATAATTCGGCAATTTTTATAGAGTTGACGATAATACTCGTGCCTTTAAATTAGTAATTAAAGGGTTGAATGGGATTGAACAATTGAAAGGATACAATTAAATTTAGAATCATAACAGACGGGGAAATGCATATTTATTTAGGATGAATTTGAAGCTAATTAAAAATTGAAGCAATATAAATAATGGAGCAAATGGGTCATATAGATTATCTTTCCATTTCAATTATACTAAATACAGAACTGTGTCGCGATATTCTCGTCTTTGATATTTTTATGCGCATCCTTTATTAATATTTCTTAGAGCGAAGTTCAATTTTCGTACATATTTAGCAATCAGATCCATGCTTCGTCCTTCAAGTCTTATTTAAGCTGCATTGTTATCTTATACATTTCAGCAACTAAATATTTTATCACTTTACTCTTGCTTTATATTCTTTTTAGTTCATTTATTTTTTTTTTTTTTACATTGTTTTATCTCAGCTACCTCTTCTCAAAGAATTACTACTTTCATTCTAACGACAATTCCTAATTTGCTGTAATTTGCTTTTTTTATATAAAAAGTATTAATATTGAAGGGCTTGAGATGGCGATGATAATGCGAGGATAATGTAGGAAGTGATGATGTGGGTAAGGTGAGGAAAGGTTGTGCGTTTCGTCTCAGAGTCGCTGCCTAGACTCATCAGTGGGGCTGATGGCAGCGAC